AAGAGGGCTCTTTTGCCGAGAACGAGCGAAATTGCGTGAAATTTGTTAGAGCGATGACTCGTTATTTAACGCCCCCCCCCCCCCCTCCCGCCTCCGCTAAGTTTTGTTATACTAACGATACAAAAAAAAAAAACTTGTACTTACCCGGTTCTACCCCAAAAATGTAATCTATATAGCATGGTATCTATATTAATGAGGCTCGTATTAGCGAGACATCGCTGTAAATCCTCGGAAACTTGGTCACTGTTCTAAAAATTACTCTCTTGCTAATCACAAAAAAAAAAAAAAACTTTCCCGATTTTAATTGAAATCGAGAAATTTGGAGCAGGAACTATTGTGCGCCAGGAAACCGCCCTAGAGGCAATTAGGAATTTCTAACTTCGGAGGCGAGTGCTTCGGCGTACGCGCCGGCTGATGGCAGCGAGAGTTGGGGCTCGGAAACCGTAATCTTTGCGGTGTCCTGGTAAGCCAGTCAAACGAAATATCAACTGGACAAAGCGCGTGTTTTCGGAAGGATTGCACCTTTTCTTTTTTTACCCCTATATTCTTGACGGATGTAGGAGAGAGGATAGGGGTAGAATAAACGAAAGGAAACTGAGCTTTGTGTTATCCTATCGCGTAAAACCCGGCCACCGGTAGCGCACACGAGATTAAAAGCTTTGAAATACATGTATCCGCTGATATTACGAGTTTTCCTCTGTGAAGGAGGTAGGTTCCCAGCCTACGAACAAGCTCGTGCACTTCGGGTGTGATTATGGCGTGCTCCTGTTGGTTAAGCAAAGAATAATTACAAACTTGCACCAAGAAAAAAAAAGCGCATACAAAGGCGTGCCTCGGCACAAGTCACGCTTGCACTCGAGGCCAATAAGAGCCATTCACTGAAGTAATTATTAAGTACACTTTGAGGAGCTACGTGAGTAAGCATGTGTTATAAGCGCTCTCCTACTACTTTTTTTTTTCCCCAGCGTCAACATGGTTTTTCTTTCGTAGTAGATAAAATTTCAACAATCGCATTTTGCGCCCTACCATCTTTTTGTACTTGATTCTAAAACACTTTTTGAACAATCACAGAAGCTCTGTTCTGCACAATATGAGAATCCACGCGTGCGTGTACAGCCGATTGACTCGGCATTTTAAACTCGGGTGATCATCGCTGAAAGGGTTTATCATTTCACAAAAGTATTCATCAGGATGTCTAGTGAACTTTATGTAAACACACCCTACTCTGTTTTCACAGTCTTTTTCTGTGTGTGTTTTTTCAAACTCCTTCGCATCATACCTATCGGATATTCTGACCCCTTCGCGGCCTGTGTACATTTTATGTATTCTTTCTCGTATCAATCTTTCCTTGCTTTCATAGTGTTTTGGGGGTGATAATTTTATATCAGACCCTTTCACGAAGCATGCTGGTACATTAAATATCGCTTATGGTGAGAGGCAGAAGTGCAGCCTACGGGCCGAAATCATGGTGGGTACATTTACACGCTTGCGCCCCAGGTTTCAGAGTGAGAAAGAGCATACGAGATTAGAGACAAGGTCACTGTGTAAGTGCGGAAGCATAGAATAAAACGCGGGATTAGAGGAAGCGGACGAGCCTGTTGGTTGAACACTCCTTTAAGGGACACTGACAGGGTATTTATGCTCGCCGAGGTTCTTAGTTGTACGTGACATATGAGAGCCCAACAACCCAGAACAGAATCTGAGGCTCGAAATTCGGTTTCTTTCTGCCCGAAAACCGCCGATTGAGAACTGGCTGGTTTGAGTCGCGCTCACTCTCCTTTCCGTGGTCACGGGCCGTTTTCTAAGGTTTAGACACGACCACCCAATTTACTCAAAGTCGTGGGTCATTGAAGGCACACACTCAATATTAAAAATATAAAAAAAAATATGGAACCCATTTTTTGTGGCTTCTAAAAAGCTACAAATACGTTGATTAAAAAAAAAGTTGCACAGAGAACCGGAAGCATTCTGTGCGTTCACTGCATAATTCTCAACATGGCGTCGTTTCGCGTTTCGTGGGACTCGCGGGTGGCAGCGGACGACGGGCGTGGGACCTCTACTTCAGAACTGTCATTCACGGTACCGGCGAATTCTGTCTTCCTTCGAAAAAAAAAATCTTGTACCAATCAAAATACTTTATATTCATCCCGTATGACACGCCCGACCAGCAAGCCGATTGCACAAAGACGTCGCCGAGCCTACGTCCCTTCTCGTGGCTCAAGACATCGATTGCTCAAACGTCAAGTACAAAGTGCGTACTTCGAGTTGAATACGCAAGCGTACAGTTTCTTTACTAGGTGGGAATGTGGCCTATGCGTGGCGCTGCCCTACTTCAAGCCGGGAGTGCATGTACCGCAGGGAAATCGGCAGCAAACTTTCTGACATACAGTCGACCGGCTGCATTACTACGAACCAAAGAGTTCCTTCAGTGGCTCAGTGGAAAGACGTCCGCGTCACATTCAGCGGGCACGGGTTCAATGTGGGCGTACCACTTTTTTTCCAAAACATTTTGCGATGTTTACATTTTTTTTACAATTATCACTGGAACATAAATAATTGATGTGGACGATACGTCGCTGAACTAAATGGTATGGGATTCCATTTTAACACTTCTGCCGCACAATGCCACTTTCAGATGCAGGGCATGTGAGGAAGCTCTTCACGCAACATCTTGGGAGTATTCTTTTCGGAGCCGATCACGGGAATTCACAACGGGCACTCACTACTAATTGCCAACACTTAAATCTACAAAACAACTCATCTTGAAGTACAGAACAGCGAGCGGAACTAACATAACTGCTAAGGAAGGACCCGCAGCGCATTTCGTCTGCTGTTCGCGGAAGAATAAAAAATATATATCGCACGGTCGGGTGTAGCCACGTGACTTCCACCACTCTCTGCTCTTCACTTCTCCCTGCGGTGCGGGGGTCTTGGTTTCGGTTTGGCGCAGTTGCGTTTTTTTTTTTTTTTTTTTTTTTTGCTTTATTAAAAAAATACGTGACTCTGTAGCAAAATATTTATTGGGTAGTATTCCGACAACCATAATAAATCGCCTGGCCAAAAAATGAAAAAAAAAAAAATTGGTGGGGTGTCAGTGTCCCTTTAAGGCCTAGAACACGGATGCACACAAGGACGTCGAGTCTTGTATTTGTCCCGCGTGTTACACACGCGTCACAAATCTTTATTAAAGTTGAAATATTCGCGGAGAATTGTGCAAATGCGGAGCGTTTCTAAAAAAATCTCCAGATAATTGTTTTTTTTTTTTCTTTCTTGTTTTCTGGAAGAAATATTTTTGCTTTTATCGCAGACCGATCAGCTGAAACTTCGCGAACGGCACACTGGATATGCGTGAAATGTATTTACCGTTCGTAAAGGCAAACAAAAAATTCAAATTTAGCTCAGACCGTGTTTTATCAGCCGAATTCACGAGAGAGAGAGAGAGAGAGAGAGCCGTTACAAAGAACCGTGATGAAGATACGTCACGAAGCACCGTTACCAAAGGACCGAGACATCACGTGACACCATGACTTCAAGCGATACCCTCATGTCACGTGAGAGCGTGACGTCACGCAACACACTGACGTCACACGACATCACGTGACTCTGTGACGCCACGTAAACTCACAATGTCACATGACGTCGCCAATGGCGGATAGCATGTACCGGCAAAAACATTCACAACAAATCCTGTGCCAAGCTCCACCCCCCAGTGTGTGTCTGCAGCGAACAAGCGCTGCACTCCGCTTCCCTTTAAATCGTACAGCAGCCGACGCTACGCGGAGCGCAAGTCGTCTGTTTCTTTTGCACGGGTTGTGGTGAGTTCAGAACGCCGAGCTCTCATTGGCTCTGATCGAAGGATAGTGGGTAGACCTCGAGGCAGCTTAGCACCGAGGTCCACCCACTATCCTTCAATCAGAGCCAATCAGAGCTCGGGGTAGTTCTGACGTCATCGCAACTCCTGCAAAAGAAGCGGACGACTTGCTCTTCTCATGCATAGGATGCGATGGAACCAATCAAGCGACGCCAAAATGCTATATCGTCAAGTTGCTCATCGCCTTTGTGCATTTTCCATCACCGGCTATAGACCAATCACGCACTATAAAAGTACCGTGATCCCGCGTTTTTTTTAATATTTTTATGCGCGTGATTGGTTTAGTTGGGGCGACAGCAGATTACATAGCGAGTGAAACGGAGTTTAGTCTCGCACCCGTTACTGGAAAAAGCAATCGATTACAATTACAAGTACTCTCGGTTTTAAAAAAAAGCATACAATTAGATTACTTGATGAGTTAAAAAAAAAAAAAGCAATGGTCTTAACTTAAAAGAGTAACCGTCACTTTGCCCGGTTTCTTCAGAGTTTCGAAACGACAGGGTTGTCTACCGGTTCGAAAACGGCCATCTTTCGCACTGTCCGTTGTTGGATTGGAACCACCGCATTATAAACTACTATTATTCTTAATAGAGTGTTTTCGGGAACCGTTTTTCCACACCCGATACGAAGCGATGGGCCCTCCGGTACGAACTGCGCATGCGCGAGTCTTCTGCGGTAGCGCATGCGCAGTGCGTACCAAGGCGCCCCTCGTACCGTATTGGGCTTTCAAAAACGATTCCCTAAAACTCTCTAATATTCCAATCATGGTAAGCCGTTTTCCTGTTGAAGGCTTGCTTCGAGGATACTTCGGTACAGGAAACTGGTACGAGGGAAGGACGCCACCAGAAAGGCGAACGCACAAATAGTAACAATTACTAGTATATTTATTACTTCAAAAAGTATTCGGATTACTCTCGGGACTACTTCCTAATGAGTGTAATCAAATGATTATAAAAGTACTCCAAGAAGTGATCGATTAAAATTCATTTGATTGCTCTTAGCGAGCACCGTACATGTCTTGTAGAGCGTACTTTTGGGGGGCTAAGGGAGTTTGGGTGCCAGCCGCTGTCGTCAAAGAGGGGTCGGTGACTTCCCGTTCCTCACGGCGGCAACCGTTCCCTCTTTGCAGGCGGCTGGTCCCAGAGGTCCCGCTTGACCGTATCCACTGGGACGGGGCACACCCGCGACTCGTACCGGAGAGCTAGCTTCGTCAACGCCGGCACGGAAAAACACACCACGCTCATGGAACTGGTGCCCAACGCGGGTGCCGACAGCGGACAAGGCGCCGCCGGCCACAGGAGAGAAAGCAAAGTCCCGCAGACCTCCGGTTCCGTGCGCTTCGCGGTGCCTGGTAACCCCCTCAAGCCACACACGAGAAGCAACAACAACCATGACAGCAGAGCGGCCGCCTACGACTAGGAGATTGAAATGGACACTCGGTTTCGAAGGCCCTCTTGGCTTCGCCGCCAAGAGCATCGCCAATAGCGTGGCGATTCATGTGCAGTGACTATAAGTGAGAAGTGTGTTTACGAAACGGAAGGTGTGGGTTAGGAGTCGGCGCCGAATTCGGGATGAGCGGGCCCTCCTTCGTGATCCATTGCCATCTGTCTGTTTTACGTTTTATTTGGAGAGCCGGGGAGCCAATGCTTGTGATGTGTCGTTCCCTTTACATGTTAGTTATAGTGGAAATCACTCGAACCTTACTCTAAGAAGTCCTGTTACTGAAGGAAACTGAATGATTGAATCTATAGATTCTGACTGTGGCTACAGTGCGCTTGAGTGTCTGGTACAACTTGTCTGTAATTAATTTCTTAAGAAAAACGGAGCGGTATTTTGGAAGTGTCAATATCCAAAATGGCATCCAATATGGGACGCGGAAATTTTTATCCTAGACTGAACGAACTCGAAAACACTCACAAATGAGTGTACATGCCCCTTGCGCGAGTTTTACGTAACCATGTTGTCATTGTCACAGAGTGTATGCGTCGCTTGTCGTTATGAAAAGAAACAAACACGTCGTTAACCCCTCTTCCTTATACCCTGTGTGAATGATACAAATGAGAACACTTGACTACGTAAAGGCAGACACCTCCACTGGCGTTGCAGGAGCTAAAAAGGCGTCTTGATCTCCATACCCTCAAAATAACCACCAAAAATAATAAAAACCTTTCACCAAATAAAATGTTAACTAAAGCCCGCTTCATCGTTGCCACAATATAGTTAATTGAAACGTATCTAAACAGTCCTTCTCATTTCGAAAGCTCCAGGGCCTCGCGGCCTTCGGGATTTTTGGCCCAGATAATGAGATGGCCCAATTCCTCTCTGTGTTCCTTCAACCATGATGTCTGAAGCCATCCTTGATACTCGAGTTGATTTCGATCCTATGTAAGCATTCTGAGACCACAATAAATTTATGCCATAAATTATCAGTCTAAAATAACTCTGTTTCATAAATACGCCAACAAAGTCGGTTAATGTTTAAGGGACATCCTCTGCGGCTCTCAATAGTGTTTACTGGAAAGGTAAGACCTGCACCTTTTCTTTTAATCTTCCCTTCCTTCAGAACGCGTTCACAATGTTTCCTTCATTTAATTCGCAGTTCAAATGTGGTTGTTTTATTACAATGCTTTTTGCTCACTCGCTGTATAAGAAACGTGTTTTTTTTTCATCTTTGTTGTTTTTGTTTTGCTAAAAGTAGGGATTTGTTTGTATCTAGGCAATATCGACCACATGATTTACGACTGCAATCTGTTCAAGCGTTACAATGACATTCCAGTTTCAAATACTTTCGATTTCTGAAGCAGGATTACAGACGTTTACAAATTACCGTACTGTGATAATCAATATAAGGTGGTGCTGCAATTTATTGTCCGACTGCGCAATATTTTAACTAAACACATTGCAATGGAGAATAGGAACGACGTTAGAATTTTTCTTTCAAATACGTAGAGGCTTCATTTTTAGCGAACGGTTCTTCTTCTTTTTTTTTTGTGGTTAAATTATGCTTAGGTCTACTTCTTTTCATCTCTCTCTCTCTCTCTCTTTCCCTCTCTTTGTTTTTTTTGTTTTTTTAAGTCCGAATTCAGCGCAGTGGGGACTTCGCGCATTACCTGGTATTTGTGGTCCACATATGTAAATAATAGATTATATTGTGATATATTACTACGCTGTGTGCAATTATTTAAATTATAGACAAAATATTAGTTGCATCAAGAAGGGGTACCGTTGTGCTTTTATGTTCCCAGTACCTAAGAACTCAGCGGAAGGAAATGGAGAACGGTGGATTTAATTAAACCGTTAAAACTCTTTACGCTTTCAGTTTATTTTTATAATGAAAACTTATTTAACACGTAACGGTTTATGTTACAGCAGGTTATGTGGTGCAAATTCAACGATTTTGGCACTTCCCTTAAATTCAGCAGAAGCTGCGATTGGATTTTGTTGGGTTCGATGAGCATGTTCTCGCTTAATTAAATAAGCTGTTCTTAATAGCATAACAAAGAAAAGTGACGGAATAAAATATCCTTCAACAGTGCTTTACAAATGATCATCGTAGAGCATGCTTAACCCCTTTTATTTTCATTCTTTGCGATATTGAATAGTCTTAACCGATATTAGAAACTTCGTAGCAGCTCCCGACGATATCATTGGGAGCTCCCGCTGCCATTAAAAACAGGTATTGGAGCACACTCTCGAGGCGTTAGTGGTCTTGAAAAAACGGTTGGCAAAAGCTCACCATTTGCACTGATTACTACCTTCTTTTTTGTTTTGTAATATATAAAAAATAAGTCTATCGTGCTGGTGTTTGTGTTATCTTTCCCGAGTTTAGCGGATAAAGCATTGGACAAAGATAAAGAAATTTCGATTGGTGTGAAGTTATAAGGTACATTTTACTTACTGAGTGATAGCGTTTGCAATCACACGCTTATTTATTTATTTAGTACATACTGCGGACCTTCAAGGTCCAAGCAGTAAGTACTAAAAACGTTTAATTTGACAAATACCGATGCGATGCATGCTGCTGCTTGGGAGCCTCTTTTTATGTCGCCAGCTTCAAGTATTGAATGATGTATTAACGAGCTCTAATAAAACTAAACAAAGTTTTGTTTCGGACATGGAATGCGTCATGTCTCTTTATTTTTGCCTGCTACCTCCACCGCTCTAGTTTCCTCTTGCGAAATCAAATTTTACTTCATTCTCACTTCGAACTCCGGTACCGTTCTTTACTTCTTAACTGCCACAGAAAGTTATTCATGAGTAGACGGGCAGGTTTAATCGAAACCAGAAATCAAACCATAGTCGCCCATTTCTGCGTTAGTATATAAAAAAACAATGAAGATGTTGCCACGTGAAAAATGCTGTTTCTTGCACACTTTATTTTTACATTGAAATAAAGCAAATGTTTGTACGTAAAACGCAGGGTTTCCTACAAGCAACAAAATGCATATATGCACAGTCCAAACATGATTATTCATCCACATACCATACAGCTACTTATAAGCCCAAAAGGCTAAAACGATATAACATTAATACTGTCGAGGCCAGTTATAACAAAGTCGGTTCTAAAGAAGTAGTGGCTACAGCGAAGCAATCACGATTTCCCATTTCCTTTTGCACTTCGTAATAACCGGTCAGTTATAACGAAATAGCGGATATAGCGAAGTGATTTTCGATTCCTGTTTCCTTCGTAGTAACCGGTCTCGGCAGTATACGTTACCATAAAGTTATATACATATTTTAACACTGCCGGTCTCACGTCGTCGTCGGTAGTATTGTTTTTACATATCAGTTTCTACAAGTAGGTCACAAATAGCGTGAGGCCCTCACTTTTGAAGTGCTGGACACGGCCATGAAGTTATGACACATTGAGAGTGTCACAGATCGACTGTATCTACATAGGGCCAAAAATGCTACCTGTGTTGCGTCATGTCCCTATGTTTTCTTAACCTCTCCGCCCCTGCTCGTCGCGATTTTTGTAGACATAGTACCGGTTGGCGGTGTTGAAGTCACCGACTGCTACGTGATGCACATAAAAAAAAAAACAGGTTGTTCACCGTGCTGTGGTAGCTAAATTTATCCTTTACAACGAAGACACCAGGGGCTATCTTAAGTTAGGCTTGAGGCTGGTTCACACTTGCGTGTGCTCACGACCGAGTGGATTAAAACTCCTTGTGATCTCTTACGACGAGAGAACAGAGTGGTGCCATCGGTCGGTAACCTTGGAACACTTGTGATGATTTCAGTATATTTCCTACTTTTTGCGTGAATCATTCTTTTTTTTTTTTTTATTGGGTCGAAAATCTTTCCATCATGCTATAAAGAGACCTTTCTGATGGATAGTACGTACATTTGATCTCGGAAATACTACAAAGCCTACTGAAATGGTGTTCTAGGGCCACCTCATAGGTGGCGCCAGCGTACCAGTGCGCTTAGAGCAACGTTACTAAAACACTCAGTTGGGAAACTCCCATAGAGACAGCTTTGAAAAAGTGGCCCCAATCTTTCTCCGAGCACCGAGCTAATGACGAACACAACGCCACCATTTTTCCCGCAACGGCCACTCGAGGAACTGCACGTGACTTCTATTTTGGCTTTAAAAACAGATACAGCGGTAGAGGTTACAGGGGTGTCACCCCGGTCTCCCCGGCGGACGCGCCCCGTTCAACATCCAAAGTTAAAATGCACCTAGGTCTGGACGCGCTACCCGAAAGGCCCGCTGAGGCATGGTTGTATAAAAACAATATTAATTGTTCCGCAAAACCTTGCGAACTAAAGATGATAAAAACATCACGCGCCCATCATTTGGTACTAAACTCCAATAAATTTCATACAAAAAGAGTCTTTTCCGTTTGTTTTTACGCAAAAACAGGCTTTCAAAAAGCTCAAGGTGACCATAGTACAGACAAACGAAAAAGAGTGGCGCTGTTGTCGCATTTAGCTCGGTCTCGGTGGTCGCCAGCGGCCCAGGTTTCGACGGCGAATTTCCCAACTGTGTGTTTTAGTAACGTTGGTTTAGAGTAAGTGAAGGCTCGTTCGATTTACGTGCTCGTGCATAAAAGCATAGGGGGGTACACGTCTGGTTGTATGTTAGTACACATACCGTAAGTACACTATCCTACTTTTCTGAACCGGTGCCGAGAGTGCAGGTCAATCGAATGAACCTCGTATATCCCCGCCTACGGAGCAGAGCACCGCAATGGTCTCAAATGTTTTTACATTTAGTGGCGGCTGCACCGTTTACAATCGCCCGTCTTTAGTGCGAATAGAACTCGGTAACTTCCTCTATAATGAAGACATACGTAATTGCAGTCAAGCTCCTACATGTTAAGAGATCGTTGGCAGCGGCGTTACCCGCACTCGCTGCGGCGACGGCCCCGGATATAGTCATGCCGTACTCCATAAACTCCGTTGCCGGTTATAGTCTCTAGCATAGTCAAACATGGCGTCTTGTCGCCCTTGCAGGAGACTCGACGGACGCAGTGACATAAGGCACAGTTCACCACGCATGCGCCGTCGTGAGTCTCCTAAATTCCTCGAAGCACGCACGCGCGTGCGCACTGCGTTTTCGGTTGTCTCGTCTGCCTCATCACTGCCTCTTTGAAACGGCGCTTGTTTTATTAAAAGGGCCCAATTACAGATGCCTAACTAGCGCGCACGATGTTTGAAGGTTCAAGAAGCTCGGCATACTTCGGTGTAAGATCTACGTTTCGCGAACGCTGTAGGGAAAACGAGCAGTCATGTGTTAATCCACAGTACAGTCACAGCGAATAGCAGCGACAGGTCACGGTGAAGTTGTTGGGCATTGGCGTCGCCTTCACACACCGTGGGGTACGTACGTGAAAAACAGCGTTCTGAGCAAGATAGACATCTGACCATTTTGTTCCAAACGCTTTTGTTTCTTATTTGTTCCGGAACGCGTGAAAGCGCGTCTCCCGGCACCAGCTCTTGTCATTGACAGTGCTACGCTGTTAGCAAAAATAACACGCCCAGAGGTGTAAACCGTTGTCCCATAGCGGACACGTCAAAAGCTCAAAACGTGTTCGTTTTGCACGCAGCCATGTGTGTTATTCGTCTACACACGAGGTGCCGTATAAACTTAACACGCTACACCGTGTCTGCCCCCCCGCGAAACACGTTTTGAGTGTGTTCCTTATGAAACATGGCGGCCAGCAGCCGAGAATAGGCGAGAGGCGAGCCCCTCGAGCGGCGCGCCTTTCAGCCGAATTGAAAGCACACAGGATGCGTTAGTTCTCGTTTGATGTATTTTATACACATTAAACAGTCTCCAAGCGGCGGACGTCGCTACGTGCAAAGGTACGTACGTGCGTCGTCGGCGGTCGGCGGCGTCGGTAGCTACGATTGAGCCGTTAGACAAAAAAAAAAAAAAACGAATGCCGAACTCACATCGATAAATAACTTGAGC